AAAGCAGCTACTGAGACGAAGAAGGCCCTGGCCGAGCGGAAACTGATTCGAGCGAGATGGCAGGCGGACATCAATGGTGGGGACATCGCTTGGAGAAGGATCACCTGCCTGATCTGGGGGATGTTTAGCGAAGGGGTCTAAGCGGGCGAAAAGCGGCCACCTCAACTATTTTTGTTTATATAAATTTTTCTTTTCTGGGATGTAACAAATAACCACAAACATACGCTATTTTATTTGCATATATAGTTTATTTTCTGTTCTACTTCGGCCGTGGCTGGCCGTTTTCTGTTTGTAAGTAATGGCCCCCTCTTTTTTTTTTTGTTTAAATACAAGGGCCTTCTTTCCTGGAAAGTTAGATGTATATTGTTGTTTTATTTTGACCGCGCCGTTCGCTTACCTTGGTTGCCTACCTCCCTCTTTTCTTCTTTTTGACTTTTTTGTCGTAGGTCCTCGGCGTCATCTTCTTTTGAATTTGCGCCGAGTGGTAGGCGTCGAGTTCCAACTGTTCTGAATTCTCTGAACTCCTGGGCCTCATCTGCGAGTGGCCCTTCTTCTCTTGGCCACGCTGCCCGATACTTTGAGGAAAAAGAACCCTCTGCTTTTGTATTTTATCAGGGTCATGGCCGTTGGCCAAGACATAAGGGGTTATACCCTCGGCCGAAATTTTTGAGATACGGCGTGCCCAAAAAACCTTAGGAAATAAATCGTGCGCATTGCTAAGTTCCTTGGACAAATGCGGCCTTGGGTAATCTGGTGCCCCCAGCTCTCCCTTTTTTAAACCGTCTTTCACAATAGGCCGGATGTCCTCAAACCGAAACCCTTGACACGGCCTGCTTCGCTGCGCATTGTTTTGCGGCCAATCTTGCCGGGCCGTCTGAGCAACGGTCTCGGCCGTTATGACCGAACCGGGTAGTTTCAGTGGAAAGTCGTGGGTTTGGTCGAGATAGTCTCGGTCGGTTAGCCATCGAGGTATGGTCACCTGATCCTGCTGATCTGCATCATAAAGGGGACCTAGGCGCGTTTGCATTGTCGTCTGAATGACCGAATCGTGTATTTGCAATGATAGTGCAACAGTCGTGCCTTTTTGCTCGCATTGTTGTGGTAACGCTTCGGTCATACTGCTTTGGCCGGACTGTGCCTGATCGGCCAAAGTATGGTATGGGCCGAATTCCTCGGCCGTAGACACCGTAGGACTCCCCCTCAAAGCCTTGGCTAGAGGGTGGAGTGGGCTACATGCTTTCTTCGCCGGTTGGTTTGGCCCGGGATTCGCCCTTGTGGGCTGGGCCTGCCCCCAGCTGTTGGTCGACGGCCAAAGATGCTGGCTGTAGCCTGGTGCTTGGGTATGGGAAAAAACGCCAAGGCTGCGGCTCTCGCCGTCTGGCTCATTCCTTTCACGTCCCTGACTTCTATGTCCGGCTTCAGGGGGTGTTGCGCGCGGAGTTACCGGCATTTTCTCCTGGAAAAGCGTTCGCAGCTCTGAAGTGAATCTATCCATCGTGGCCATGAAGGATGTCTCCATCCTGTAAGCCTGCCTGGATATCAAGTATCCCACCGGGCGTGCCAAAAGTGTCTGCGGCGCAAATCTCACGGCCTGGAGTTCCGGGCCGAGGGGAGGTGCGTTAACACGGGGTTTCCTGCTTTTGGGTGCGGTGCGGTTGTGCGCGGGCGTGCCAGCACGGTTTACC